TTGGGAGAAGTTCACTTAAGATTTAGAATAACCAGTTATAGCATGTCAAAATAGCATTTTAATTAATTTAAAAAGTAAATTTAACAAAAAAGCATTAATGTAAAAGATATTAGATTAATATATATATGCTACCTATTTGAAAAATCAATAACAAAAGAGATTAATTAAAAATATATATGTTTTAAGTATATCAAACCTGCAGAAATTAGATAATTAAAATAAAAAATAAAATTACCATCGAAGATATTTAAAATAACAAAAAAAGATCTAAGAAGAAAATTAGTTTGAAATATAGTTCCAAAAAAATTCATGATTTCTAAAATATTGGTGTTGACTATGAATAACCATATAAAGTTTTAATAGGTTATACAAGTTTCTAAATCAAACATATTATTTAAATTTACAAAGATTAATACATTGGTTGCGTCTGGTTGAAAAATTAACAAAGTATACACAAGTAACTTTACATTCAAAATATAATAAGTAATAAAATCTGATTTGTATACATATTTACTGCTTATAACTTAGTCAATATGAACAACACATGAGCAACATCCTCTAAAATTTTCTTTAAATAATATAATATGACAAAGTTATGAATCAAATTCAAATGAGAATATATGAAGATAAAATACTCAAATCAAAACATGAATAAACACACAAAAGATGAAAAAAAACAGTGATTAATGTGAAGTCTCAACATCATCTTACATGTTTAAAATCAAATATTAGCCAATAGTTGACTGCAAATAAAACAGATCTTATAAACTGAATAACATATAACCTAAAATTCCTAGAAGATCTGGTGAAAAAGCAAAAATTAGCTTTACACGATTAGTGTTGCTTACTAACAAAAGTAAATCTGAATCAATATATATCATATATTATATATGTATATGTACACAATATTAGTGAGACATTTAGTAAAGAAACTAAATATTTAAACATATAAACCTTTTAAAAGTAAGAACCATAGAAATCCTAAGGATATAAACAAAACACCAAAAATTTAGTAAGGAAATCATTTTCTAAATCAAAATATGCACATCGAAGTTGGATAATTCGTTAGGTGTCATTACTATGATTTTACTTAATAAGATTTATAATTTTATAAACAACAATGGGAAATACTACATATTATGTTTTAATTTTTTTATATAAAAGAAAATTTCTATAAATATATTATAGTTTTGATAATTTTAAAGATATTAGCCAAAACATTAAACCAAATTATTAATACAGACTCGTGCGTTGCGCGAATTAAAAGACTAGTTTAATATATAAAAGTTGATGGCATGGTGCATTGAGGGCGTCCACATATGATTAAAAACTCGATATGATTGGTCCACATCAGCAATTTTCATAAAACAAATAAATGTTAAGTATGACTAAAATATTAAAAATTAATTTCTAATTCTGTAAAACATTAATTTTGTTTTATAGATGTAAAAATAGAAATAAAAAAAATTTAAATAAAAAATAGAACGGAAATTGTGTTAAAAAAAACCATAATATAGTATCCCTCAAAATTAAATAGAAATTTAATGTCAAGAGAGTTAAACTAACAAAAAGTCAAAAAGTCAATATCGTAAAAGTTAAAATTAATAGTATAAATAGAAAAAATTCTAACTTCTAAATTAATTGACAAAAAATCATGTAATATATAAAAGTTGATGGCATAGTACATTGAGGACGTGCACATGTGATTAAAAAACTCGATCTGATTGGTCCACCTCAGTATATTCATTAAATAAAAAAATGTTAAGTATGATAAGGATAAAGAAACTCAATCTCATTGGTCCACATCAACATTTTCATTAAAACATAAAAATTTATATTTGATTAGCAATTTAAATAAATTAAAATATACAAAAAATTAAATAAAATTATGTCAAAAATCCAAATTTATAACGTCTATTAAAATAAAATAGAAATACAATATCACAAAACCTAAATCAACAAAAAAATCGATATCAATAACAAAAAGGTTAAATCAAAAAATATTTCAAAATAAAAATATTAAATCAATAAAGAATTTACAAATTTTAACTGATAAAAGTAAAAGAAAAAACTTAGCTAACAAAAAAATGAAAAGTTAGTTATGTTTTACAAAATATTCATACAATATATATAAAAAATAATATCAGATTTTTTTTTAAATAATCTAAAAACTGATTATTTAAAAATTAATATAAAATAAAATTTCATTAACGGAAAAATAAAATTCTGTATGTAAAATGCCAATATTTTCAAAAAATGTTTCAAAATAAATTAAGAATTAATATCAGAAGACGTAAATTAACAAAATAAAAAAATTTTATAAAAGAAACTAACTTGATATTTAGGCTAACGTTTTTTTAAAAATCAACATAAAAAACTTAACTAAGAAAAACCAAATGATGTTATAAGCTTTTGAGAGAATTCTGCATAAGATTTAAAATAAATAGTTATAGCATGTCAAATCAGCATTATAACTAAAACAAAAATTAATATGAAAAAAAAAAATTTAAAAAGAAAAAGCATTCATGTACAAGAAATTAATTTGATGTATTAGCCATCTATTTTGAAATTCAACAATAAAAATGCTTAAGAAAAAAGAAATATATATATATATAAGTCTTAAGTATATCAAACATACAAAAATTGTATAAATTAAAATATAGTATATAATTACTCTTAAAAGATGTAAAGTATATATAAAAATCTAAACGAAACTAATTTAAAATTAGTTTCAAAATTTTCCTGATTTCTAAATAGTGGTATTGATAATGAATAACTATCTAAACTTGCAATCGGTTTACATGAGTTTCTGAATCAAATATATTTTTTTAAATATACAAAGATTAAAATACTGTGTGTTTCTGATTTAAAAATAACAAAGAAAGACACTACATAAGTAATTTTACACTTAAAATTTAACAAGTAATAAAATCTGATTTCTATACATAGCTTCTACTTATATCTGAATCAACATTAATAACACATGGGTAATATATTCTATAATTTTATTTAAATAATAAAATATGACATATTTATGAATCAAATACAAATTAGTATATGGAGCTAACATATTCAAATGAAACATGCAGAAAGCACATAAAAGATAAATATAGTAAAAAATAATACGAAGAATCCACACCATCAATCCTGCAAGTTTCAAAATTAAAATTTTCAAATATTAGACTGCAAAAAATGAATATTTAAATAATAAAATGACTAAAAATCTAAGTTAAAATTCGTGGTAGACCTGAAGTAGAAGCAAGAAACGGTTTTGCATGATCATTGCAGCTTTCTAACAAAACTAAATGCGAATTCATATGAATCATGAATTATACATGCACATATACACAATATCAATGAGACATTCAATTAAAAAACTAAATATTTGAACTTTTAAACCTTAATGAGAAAAAACTCTAGAAATCATATGGAAAAAAAAACAAAACATCAAGATCTTAGCAAAAAAATATTTCTCTAAATCAAATTTATGTATACGTCAAAGTTAGATAATTTGATTGGTGTCATTGTCACTATTTTACTTAATAAGATTTAAAATTTTATAAATAAAAATAACAGGAAACTTTAAATTATGTCTTAAATTCTATTATATAAAACAAATTTCTATAAATATATTATAGTTTTGATAATTTAAAAGATAGTAGCAAAAAACAAATTAATCAAAACTATTAATACAGACTCGTACGTAGCGCGAGTTATAAACCTAGTTTTTTACAATAAAACTTTAATCTTTTATTTATGAAAAATGCTTATTCAGTTTAAAACGTAAAATAGATAGGAATGATTTTATTTTAGTTTTCTGCATACATTTTTCTGAACATTTTTTTTTAAGTTCAATAACTATGTTATTCGAGTTTTCCATATTTGTTCGATTTCAACATCTGTTTCCATATCCTATTTGTTTCTTATTTGAATTAACATACTTTTTTTTATAGAAACTATACAGCTTTTGGGTTCTGCAAAATTAGTAATTATTTTAAAGTTAATAGCTTAAAAACCCAAAAAATCTGCATAAAAATAAACTCAAATAAAGTTAATAGTATGTGACAATCTAAAATATTTAAAAGCCCAAAAAATAAAAAGAAAATTGCTGAGGTGGACAGCTCTATTGGACAGAGTTTTCCCTAATTATATATATAATTTTTAATCAAACTAATGTGATTTAAAGTAGGTTGCTTGGAAACAAACACGTTTGGAAACGTGAAAACATCATTGAAAACATGTATATAAATATATTAAAATATCTAAATTATATTAAAAATAAAATATTTAAAATAAAAACTCAAAAACATAATTATTAAACAGTAACGTTTAAATTAAAATATTCAAAAAAAATTTTCTTTATTATCAATTTCATTAATTCTATCAAACAAAACTATCTACATCAAACTATAAAAAGTTTTTCAAACTCAATAATTGCAAAACTAATCTCATTTTATAAAAAAATTAATTATTAATTTATTCCAATGAATCAAATTAGTTATTAACTTACTATTAGCAATTAAATTTATCATTTAATCTTATTTTTATAATTATTAATTTACTACCAAAAAATAAAATAAGTTTCCATCATGTTTCTAAAATGGAAACAAGAGTTTTCATTGAAAGTTTTTAGAAAATGCAGTTTTCCATGTTTTAATTTTCGAAATGTTTTCAAAACGAGAAACACATATCCATATTTAATTTTTGATTAATAATAAATTATAAAAAAATTCACAAGACTGAGTAAATTAGTTTACAGATTTTGAACTCAACCTGAAATGTAACCAAAAGTATATAAATAATGTGAAAACTAGTTCAAAATTTGTTAAATTAGCGAGAAGAATAACTGAAATATCAGTATTTATATATATGATCATAACATCATCGGGTTACAATCAATTACAAAACCAATAACAAGGGAATGAATTTAATCATTTATATTTAACATGAGGGTGTCATTTGTGAAAAAATTAACAAAGGTGGTTCTTCCGTAATGGAAACTAATTTGATCCACCACGGCAACGATGACTCTCCTCGCATCCTCTGTTGTAAGGATTGACTGGGCGCTTCTTGCAGGTGGCTGGGTTCGCTTTATCACAACCCGAAGAGTGATCTCCATTATTAAGATCGCGATAATTTATAGCTCTTGCCTCAATATTGGTTGCTGCAAAAGCCAAGAACACTACAAGAAAGAGAGAGAGAATAACTTTGACACTTTTAGACATCCCCATTATTTTTTAATTATTTGTTTTCTAAATAGATTAAATAAATAAATAAATTATAAAAAAACTCTGGTTAGGAGTTTGATTTATGTTTATTTATTAATTTAATCGTATTTGAAATTGGCTCTGTGGTATTAGAAGAAGAGATTATTGGTGTTTTTATACTAGAGAAGAGATGGGTGTCAAAGTTAGTTATTTTTAGATGATGATTAGTAGCCACATAGATTTTAGTAAACAGGTGTTTTTAGGTAAAAAAAGTGGGATAATGTTTCCTAAAATTAATCTAAATATAAGGTTTCTTGCAATGTCTTTTTTTTTAACAGCATATCTTGTAATGTCTATAATTAGTTTTTTATTTTCTTGAGAGGTTAAGCAAAACAAAATGAAGGTTAATCTACTATTCCAACGAATACATTTGTTTGTTTTAAATATTATAAAAAAATAATTAATTAATCTAAAGAAACTGCAAAAGAAAATTTGTTTATACATTTCTTTTCTCCTTTAAATAAACGAATATAATTATCTAACATTATCAAAAGTGAAAATAGATTACAATTTATATATTTTAGAAAAAACGGGTATTTCATAAACTATGAACGCACAGATTCTAATTTAGTATATAGTATATATAAGCTAGTTTGAAGAATAATTTTACTTTGTGAATCCATCATAAATATTGTGAGTGGCTCGTGCTGTATATGCCATGAATTACTTGTAAGTAAAAAAGATTGTAATTTGTATGGTTGTATAATACTTCATACATATATATGTATGTATCTTAGATCCTAAATATATTAAAAGATAAAATGATAAATACTTAAAATATTATTTAAAAAACGAGATTTCTTAATTGATTACAATTGACATTGTATCATAAAGAAACACAAAGTAAATAAGATGCGAGTTCTAAATATTTTTATAAAAATTCAAGAAGCCCATGGGAAACAGTTTGGTTGACCTCCATCACGTCTATCTCTACATGGTGCTGGCTCGTAAATACTCCAAATACATTCGCTGCAAACTCCAACTTTGCTTTTGGGATTATCGTCACGATCAGCTCTAAAAATATCAAACGTAGCTACGTTGCCAGGCCAAGTAAAGGTACAAGTGTACACCGTTGTTTTGCGGAGGTTAACACGAAACCTGAAATCGAAACTATCACCAGGTCCGAGTGTGATCACTCCTTTATCTTCGCCTTTGTTCTTACAATGCACAATCAGTGTCTGACGCGTCACAAGTTTGTTGATGATCACAACATGTTTGGATGAGAAGGGCAAAAGTCCCGCAGACGCCAATGACGTCGTTGCAAGGATGATTAGGAATGAGATTAGCATGAAAATGATGTTGTGATTCCTTGAGAAAACCATTGTCTTTTTTTTTTCTGTTTCTTTTTGTGAAATAATAACCCCATATTTGTGGGGGGAGTAAATTAGTATTTATATATGAATCGATATTTATGACTAACTGTAAGGTGTTTCTGTTTTTTTTTCTTTTTCATATACGTTATAGTAATGCGTATGTATTTATGACGTTTGGCAACGTAATTACAAATAAATGTGTTGAACAGAAATATGTTCATTGGTATTGATCGAAAGAGATGATTTGTTTTTGTGATATTATATTATTCTTTTTCTTTGAGATAATTTGTGATCTAATATTTGTTGTGGAGGAAAGTAGTATTACTATTCTTAGATTAAATAAAATTTACTGTTGCCATAAGTAGGCGTTTTTTTATTTTTTTGACCAAAAAGTTAATCAATGAGGCGTTTCTTTTGGGAGAGAAATTGAAAATCTACAGATTCTGTTTTTGTTAAAAAAATCATAGATTAATAATAACATAGGTATTTGTTTCCTTCGGCAACGTACTTAGTTACGAATAAATGTGTAGTATTATGACAACTTTCAAACTCCTTAATACTGAAAAAAAACATCTCCTATACAATACTATTTAACTAGGTAATAATCCACATCCTGTGCCAGATGAAATAATAATTATTTATTTGATATAATATAATTTTAAAATCATATAAAAAATACAGTTGATTTTATATGAGTTGTTTATAACATTATGCTGTAATATTGACAAAATAATTTTATTTTATTTTATGAATTTTAGGGTAATTTATTTCAAATATAAATTAGTTTAAAAATTAAATATATATGCACAATCTCGATAGAAATACGAAGTTTCTCTTTATATTTTCTATAACTTATGATTAATAACATGATATTAAAATTCAAAAAAAAAATAGAGGGAGAATATTTTGATTAAATTATTAAGTATCTAATGCGTTATGATAATAATAAAAAAGATTTACTACTTCCTCTGTTTCATAATACTAGTTTTTCTTAAAGATTTTGTTTTTTTTCACAATATAGTTGTTTTCATATTTTTTACTACTTCCTATAAATACTATGTGACCCATTATATTTTTCAGTTTTTCATAATTAGTTGTATTATATTAAATTTATATACTAAATGATTATTTTTTTTAAAGAAAAATTGCTTTCTAATATTTGTGCTTTGATGCAAAACAACTTATATTTTAAAATAGAGATTATTAAAATTGTAAAAATAAAATTTGATTATAAGATTTTATAATCGGTTTTAATTTTTCTTATACGAATGTAAATGTATGTTTAGATTAACCCGCAAAAACCATAGTCATAAGAGTATTAACTTTTAAGAAAATAAAATTACTGTGAAATTTATTTTAAATACTAAATATACATAAGGATTATATAAAAATAGATTATATTTTTCTATTATTTTTAATAAATTATCTAAAATTGTATATAACTGAGTCAATATTTATACATTCTTAAATTTTGATTCAATAAAAATATTTTTAATATCAAAAAGTTTGATAAAATTATTATATAATATCCTTACAGAAATATTTTAATTTTTTACCAAGTTATTTTGTTGTATAAATTAAAAATAATAATATCTATTAAATTAAGCTTCCTGTTTTTTTATGTATTTTTACATTGATTTATGAATCATCTATCCACATACTTTTATTTATTATTTTTATTTTTTTTTAAAACATAATCACATCTTTATATCAATTTTAGTTTTTTTTTTAAAACATACTTTTATTTATTAATTATCTGAGTAATTCATATTTATTTTATGAAATTTGAATTATAACACAAAAAAATATATGTATATATATTTTACTATATGAATGATGTGATAATTTATTTTTCTATAAAAATAAGAGATAAAATATTATATTTAAAGAAATAATTAATATGATATATTTTTGGTAAGAAATAGAAAGAGAATATCTTGATGAATCATCATTAATATAATTGATATAAACTAATGTATAACCAAATTAATGTGAGTGGCATAACATGTAATTAATCTAGTAACATAAGTCTATTTATATAACTTTGCTGAAAATGATTATGGTGATGACACATCAGCAAAATGGCACCACTGTAATATTTTACAAAATTAAGATTGTTCTTTAAAAACACTTCTCTTTTAATATATAGGGGATTAAAACTTAAGAGTTGAGAGCCAAAGATAGCATATTGTTAATTTTTTGGGTCAACAAATGTAATCATCTATACTAAATGAAAATGAAAGGGATTGTTTGAGGCTCCTAAGACCATCCACATCAGCAAAAACAAAATTTCTATAATCATGCCACATCAGCAAATCTCTAATAAAAATAATTTTTAGTATATTAATAACATAATTAAAATTATATAGTATTTATCAACAATAATATTAATATTTGAAAATTGATTAAATTGTATGTACTATAGTAGCAAAACATATGAAATATAACTTGATTTTAACAAAAAGAAAAATATATTATATATAATATTTTAAATTTTTACAACTCAAATTAATAATAATCACATGTTTAAACTAAAAGTCGATAAGATATAATATTATTAGGTATTAAGTTTGTCCACATAATAATTAAAAACATCAAATATGTATGATTATGTACATATTATTCCTTTATTTTTGGTTAAATACATTTAGATATAAATTAAATTATATACAGTATAGTATGAATCATCGTTATAGTTATGCGTATATAAAAATAAACTTGCACAACTTTATATTAAACATTAATATATTACACTTCCATATTTAAAATAGTATATATATTTTATATAAAGGAAAATGTCATAAAAACTTATCTAACCATCTATATCAACAAAAAAAGAAATTCATAACAAACCCAACATGTAAAGAAAACTAATATGGTTTTTGTTTTGTTAAGAAAGTCTTTTAAAAATAAAATAATATATATTATTATTTTAATTATAAAAGTTCACTAAAATATATATGTAGAGTAAGAAAACTATATAAGGTAAATTATAAGCAAATGCAAATGAACCTTATACTTTATTTAATAGAATGAGTTAGTATGAAATTGTATTTGTATATGTATTATTTGCTTTATTCATCACACTTCTATCATTTACAGATGCTTCAAGGCCCAAATCAAAACTGCAGTTTATCAATATGATTGTGATTTTGTATAATATGTAAATATTATTTTTATTTATATGAACAATAGTTCTTTTACGGTTTTGTAAGAGTTCAGAACATTGATTGTTGTTTTATATTTAAGAATGCTCATAAAAAAAGTTCATTACACGAACACAATTTAAATGACAAGAAATCAAAATTAATTGGAACAAAATATAATTGTAGTCATATGTTTGATAAGTTTTTTCTTTGAATGAAAAAATTGTTTTAAATTAAATAAAGAGAAAACTTATAGTTGTTAAGTTGAATTATATATCAATTTAGTTAAAACAAAATTAAGTTTAATAGTAGTTTGAAAGTTGGTGAGCAGTAATGAGTTTATATATAAATATTAATTTCTAGAGTAACAATTAATTTTTACATATATCAAATTAGTAAATTTTTAAATTAAATCATAATACATTTTCGAATACGTAAAAGTGGTTTAGATGTATGACTACAACAAAATGATATTGAAAATATCAATTTACAAATAAAATAATTTCACTAAAATAATAATTAAATATTTATGAAAACAATCCGCGCGTAGCGCGGTAACATCCTAAGTATATATAATTAGAGATGTTTCTCTCCATTTAGAGTGTCCACATCAGCATTTTAATTTTAATTTTTTGTACTTTTAAGTATTTTGGATTTTCACATAATATTAACTAATGTGAGTTTATTTTTATGCAGGTTTTTTGGGCATTTTAAGATATTAACTTAAAAAACAAAATATCAATTTTACAAAACACAAAAGCTGTATGTTTTTCTATAAAAAAAAAGTATGCTAATTCTAATAAGAAAAAAATAGGATGTGAAAATAGAGGTTAAAATCGAAAAATAAAAGAGCTTGCACAGAATAGTTGTTGAAATTTAAAAAAAAACAAAATGTTCAGAGAATTGTATGCAAAAAAATAAAATAAAATCATTCATACTTTATGATGTAAAATGAATGAAAGTTTTTCATAAAAAAAAATACTAAAGTTTTGCTGTGAGAAAAAGACTAAAGTTTTAAAATCATGTAGCATAAAAATAAACTTGATCTGTAGAATACGTGACGACAGAAAAAAAGCTATACAAATCGAAAAAAAGAATTAGGACTGTTGTGATTGAGAATGATTTATAAAAAGTTTCTCTCTAACGAAGCTATACAACTCAACAAGTAGTTATTTTCTTTATGGACTTCTACATGAGTTTTTTGCATATATAATCATATTGAGGGTTGAAATAAATAATATAGCCATAGTATATGGATAATTTATAAACTAATCATGACCACCATCAATTGTCAAAAATATCCATGTACTATATTATAATAGTTATTATACTATATCTCATTTTTATAGAATATTTTCGTTTGATATAGTATTTGCAAAACTAATTGGTAAAAAAACGGGAGAGGAGAGGAGGGGAGGAAAAGAAGAGGAGAGGAGAAGAGGAGATGGAGTGGAGGGAAAAGGAGGGGAGAATAAGAGGAGGAAAAGAGAAGAGAAGACAGAGAAGAATGAAGACATGAGATTAAGGAAGAAATTTTTAAAAAGAGTAATTTTGTATATATTAGAGAATATATACAGAATATCATAACCATAATTTTGTTATGGTTATTTGATGAATTTCAGCTGTTGTTATGATTACTACACCCAATTTCCCTTCTACATGTTGTGATATTTTACAAATTATAAAAACTAAAACAAATTATGAAATAAAAAGTAAAAGTAATATTTAGAATAGAAGACAAAAAAATGTAAAAAAAAAAGTTGAAAGGCGAACAAATACAAAATATGACAAAAGAACTTGCGAAGGATAGTTATCAAACTTTTTAACAAAAAAAAACTTGAGAAAATACACATATATATACTA